ACACACACACACACACACACACACACACACACACACACACACAAAAAAATAACAATAATGTAGAAGTGAAGGGTGTGGGTCAGTGGCAGAGTGCTTACCTAGCCTGTATGAAGCCTGGGTTTGATCCTCAGCACTACCAATAGTCATGCATTTAGAAGAATTTATATTTAGAAGAGCCAGTTACTTTCCCAAAGTCATACACCCAGGAAATGCTATACTACAGTGGAAATGCAAGTCTATCGAAATCCAAGCAAATGATCTGGGGAAAAAAAAAAAAAAAAGCATTGTCGGCCATAGGGGAAGGTGTAAAGATAATTCATCCTGAAGAACGGGGTTAAGCATCAGCCAAGACTGGGACCTTGCACACATCTCAGCCTTGTTCTTTTGTGTCCACCATGCTTAGCACCCAAGGGACAATATAACAGATGTACACTGTGAGACATCCCTGAGCAGCTGCCCACGACTGCTGCATCCATGTAGGGGAGGCAGAGGCGCACAGTGTGTGTGGTGAGGGTTGGAAAGCGGGAAGAAATGGAAAAGTGGATCCTGGAGGATGTGACAAAGAATACAGTAGAGATAAAAAAGGATCAGGCGTCAGTACCCAGCAGAGCCCGGCAGTCTGGAGAGCTGAGAGTTTGGCTCATGAGGAAGGGAAAAGAAAAGGTTACCTTGGTCCTGGAAGCCTGAGAGGTTGATAGTCTAGATCAGTGGTTCTTAACCTTCCTAACGCTGTGACCCTTTAGTACAGTTCCTCATGCTGTGGAGACCCCAGCCATAAAGTTATTTCATTGCTACTTCAGAACTGTAGTTTTGCTACTGTTAGAAATCATAATGTAAATATCTGCTATGCGGCTGCTGTGAAAGGGTCTTTGGACTCCCAGAGGGGTTCTACTCCCAGGTTGAGAACCACTGGTCTAGAAGGACAAAGTATCCCTTAAAGGTCCCGTGTCTGAGCAGAACAGTGCTGTGACGTGGGAGAATGGGAGAGGAGGGTGGGAGAAAGCCACAGAAATGCCTCACCGACTCCGCAGGTTCACCAAAGACGATGCTGAGTGCTTTTCAGTGCAGAGTTTGTGTGGGAAAGAAAACAGATCAGTGATTGGCCTTCTCAGTTCAAGAACCAGAATGCCGACAATTGTGATGATTGGGTGATGAAAGTGATAGTGTGCCTTAAGTTCCAAGCAGGCAAGAGAATCCTGCAGGGTTCTTGGTTTGTTTGTTTTTTTTTCTCTATGATTGGAAAGAGAAAATTAACTGTTCTTTTCAACCCAGAGTCATATTAGTGTTGTTAGTAAGTACGTGGGTGTAGGGCCACCCACAGGAGAATGGGCAGCTTTCCAGGGTTCATATCCTAGAAGAAAACTGACTCTCTCTTCCCCAGCAAGAGTCAACTGCAGGTTGCTTCTCAGTCAGGGGTGTGGTCTCATGACCACCTCCTCCATCCATGCTGGGATTTTGACAGGCTTGATCTTGTACAAGTCTTGGGCATAAAACCACAGCAGCTGTGCACTTAAGTGTGCAACAGGAAGTTGGAAGGCAGATGTGGTGGGGTGATCATGGCAGGAGTTATACATGAATATATACAAAATTCTCAAAGAATAAATACAAAATATGTATTTTAAGAAAAAGAAGAGAAAGGCCCACCCGGCACCAGTCAGCTGGGGCAGGAGCCATTATGATGAGCAAATATATGGTGAAGACATGGGAGAGAAAGAGAAGCGCAGTGCGTCACGTGCTGTGGAGGGAGTTGGAATTGAAGAAAGTGGTTAGGAAGAGGTTGATGTGAGTGTCCGTCACTGCAGCCTGGAGCCACGGTGATGTCCTGGCCTGGGCTGCTGCTGAGTGTGGTGATAATGTGTTCCCCAATATATCATGCACGCTAATAAACTTATCTGGGGGTTAGAGAACAGAACAGCCACTAGATATAGAGGCCAGAAAATGGCGGCACACATGTCTTTAATCCGATCACTTGGGAGGCAGAGATCCATCTGGATCTCTGTGAGTTTAAAGCCACACTGGAAACAGTCAGGCATGGTGACTCACGCCTTTAATCCCAGGAAGTGAGGGCAGAAAGCAAAAAGGTATGTAAGGTGTGAGGACCAGGAACTAGAGCTGGTTAAGCTTTCAGGCTTTCCAGAAGTAGTTCAGCTGAGATTCATTCTGGATAAGGACTCAGAGGCTTCCAGTCTGAGAAAACAGGATCAGCTGAGGAATTGGTGAGGCGAGGAAGCTGTGACTTGTTCTGCTTCTCTGATCTTTCAGTGTTCACCCCAATATCTGGCTCCAGGTTTGATTTTATTAATAAGAACTTTTAAGACTCTTGCTACAGCTGAGAGCCATGTCTCAGTCTATGGCCCTGCCTCAGCTAGGGTCTGTGTTGATGTCATGGCTCCTGTTACCACTGAAAGCCATACAGGATCTGGACACCACCTAGGGCCATGTAGGGTCTAAAGAGCCATGCTGCTGCCAGGATCTTGATGATCTGAGTGACTGTGCTGTCACCTGGGGCCATGGTGATGTCTAGGCCCAGGCTGCTGCCAAGGTCCATGTCTGGCCCATGGTTTTGCTACATCTGGGGTATGTGCTGATGTCCATGGCCCATGTTGCTACTGGGAGCTACATGAACCATTCATATTGAAAACCAAGGGCCATGCTGAGCTGGCCCTAACCTGCCCTTGCCTGGCCCTGAGATAGCTGGTCTTGCACCTCCCACCCCTCATCATGGGTGCCAGAGAGCTGAACCCAATGACGAGGGCTGGATCCACCCCTGGCCTGAGGAGTATGGTCCTGGTGGAGGTCCTGACTGACCAACTTAGCTATCATCCAGGCCCATATCTAGTGCTTTGAGTTGACACTCCCCAACATCCACCCCATCTATGACCTACTGGAACGAGTGAAGAAACTGGTCATGGAGAACCATAGCCACGGGATCTCCATGAGTTGGGGCAACAGCAGAGTATCCAAGAGGAGTTTCAGTGAGGGTCCAGTGATGATGGTGTACCAGAAGTCAGAGGCCTAAAGACAGACCAACAACTCATTGCCATGAACATTTGCAAGTAAAGCTGTTTGTGACACACCGCCGCTCTCAGGGCCACTCAGACAGATGAAGAGATGATGGAGAGGCAGGAAAGATGGAGGAGTGGAGTGGTTTCTTTTAATTAATTTTTGTTTGTTTGAGGGGCACTGCAAGGGGTGAAGGGCAGATATGAAGGGACTGGTAAATGGGTGGGATTAGGGTGCATTCTGTGAACTTCCCAAAGAATCAATAAAAAATTATGTTTAAAAAAAAAGAGAAATGAGAAGAAAATGGAAATGGGAACATGCTTCTACTTACAATGTATAAATTATCCCTTGCTCTCCAGGGAGAACTGGCCCGAGACCCTCCTTATGGATAAAACACAGAGGGGCTCAAGTCTTTTATATAAAATATTGTAATATTTGCTTATAATCTGCACACATCTCCCATGTTGTGATCTGGATATGAAGTGTTCCCACAGAAGACTCCTGTCTAGCTGGGGCACCATTGAGAAGTATTTGAATTATGAAGTCTCTGAACTAATCAATGCCCACTGACATATTCATAATTGGACGTCATTACTGGGAGGAGACTGAAACTAAGTGGAACCTAGCTGGAGGAATTAAGCCACCAGAGGCACTCCCTGGATAGAACACAGCTCCCCTGGCTTTCTCTCACTGCTTCCTGGCTGCTGCGAGGTGAGCAGCCTCCACCATCTTGTTCTCCCCCCACCACGGTGTTCTGCCCAGCCTCTGGTCCCAAGCAGGGGATCCAGCTGACCTTGGACTGAAGCTCCTCCTCCCTCAAGCTGTTTTCTCAGGAGCCTGGGACACAGCAACCAGAAGTAACTGACAACCACCTGATGGATGGTACCCACTACAGTGCTGATGTCGTACAAATGGCTGTCATGCTAGGTGATGGGGAATAATGTTTTCAGTCTCTATGTAAACAGCTCAGAGGCATTTTTGCCAAATGTTTTCACAAAGGGCTGGAGGCTGCAGGAAAAGGGATGGAGGGCCAACTGCATTTTTAATTTTGGAAGGAATTATCTCCACTCACAAGTCAGCTTGATAGTAACTTGTGGATTTCTCCTTTGACTGTAAATTCCAGACTATAAATACCTCAGCATACCCGGAGGCCATTTCCTGTGACTCCCCTACACCAGTCAGACCATTTCATATGGTTTTGAAAACTCACCAAAATGAGTGATGGACAAGAAAAGCCAGTCTCAAATTCATAGATATGAAAGCTTTGTCTCCAACTAAAATTATAAGAATATTTTAGCTAATTATAAACCTGAAAATCAAATCTGAAATTTCTAAAAAATTTCAAATTATTATTTTTTTTAAAAAATGATCTTAAGAAAGGTAGATTACTTGAAATAAAAATTTGACGAGATATATTCATAGAAGCTTAAAATCCAATTATACATTTAACAGTGTATTAATAAATAAACATTCAAAAATACTTTGTGATATCACCTATTAAATAGAGCTTTCAAATCTAAGCTATCAACCAAAACCATTTGAAAGCTAACATGCTTTTCCCAGTGTGAGAAACATGCTGTTGTTGTATTGTTGTGGAGATGGTGTGTGTATGTGGTAGGGTACAGTGTATGTATGGGTGCACAAGTATGTACAGGTACATGTTTATATCCTGTGGGTGGAGGTCAGAGGTCAACACACGGAACCTTTTAAGTATCTTAATTCAGATCTCTTAGAAAATATGGAGTTACAGACTGGCTGGGCTGGATGGCCAATAAACTCCATAGATCCATTTCCCACCACCTCCCATCCCCCACCACCTGCTACTACCGCTGTCCCTCACCCCCCCACACACACCGGCCACCACCCCTGAAGTTACAGATACACTCCCACTGCACCTGGATTTTAGGAGGATTTATTTTTTAACTTTTAGCTTAGGCTGGCCTCAAACACAGAAGTCAGCCCAACAAAGCTAGAATTGTTCCCCCCGCCCCCAGAAGGGTGATGATATCAGGAATCTTAACATGCACCTCATGTTGTACAGCACACATTACCAACTGTAGCCTAGACCTTGCCGTAGAGATATTTGTCAAAAGTTGTTATACAGTGATTAATATTAGTATTCCTGGCTGAATAATGCCTAACAGTTCACCCAGCTATTTCCTATGTATTCTCCATTTTTTCATTATGTGTGCTTGAGCATGTCTGTGTGGGGTATGTGTACACTCCCACACCATAGAGTTTCCCTTAGAAGACAGAAGAGGGTATTAGATCTCCTGGAGCTGGAGTTACTGGCAGTTCTGAGCTGCCTGACTGGGAACCAAGCGGTCCTCTTCAAGAGCAGTAAGTGCTCTTAACCACTGAGCTATCTGTCCAGTCGCCTATACATTTTTTTACCCTCACAAAAATGTCAACATTATTAGGCAGCTCTGCAAATGTGGAAATTGGACAACAGAGTAAAATTCTTAGTTTTCAGATTTTTTTGGAGCTTAGAAATTTCCTATTAAGAAGTCAGCTATACAGAATCAATAAGGACCAAAGTGTGTACTCTTTCAGGCCCATGCAACTGGGACGTCACTTCCACGAAGTGCCCTGATACAGCCAGAAGACCACCATTGTCATCTGAGGGGAAAGAGCGTGGGTTACAGATCGAGACAAGCCTGATTCTGAAGCCGGACTGAACGTTCATAAGTCAAATATGAATCAACAGAGTATTTCTTTAGCTGTACTATTTCACCGAAATTTCAGTCTCCAAATTTGTAAGGCGAGAATGATAGTTCTGTAGGATTCTCCCAACTATAAATTGCTAATGTAAAGCATTGTCTCCCTAAAAAGCTGGGTGATTTTCTAAAAGATTGAAAGATTCTTGCAGAATCTAGGTCTTCTGCTACCAAGGCTAAGGTTTTTCCACTACATCATGTGACTACAGACTATCTTCCCTGCCATGTCCATGGGTCTTGGCAACACACAATGTTCTCTTCTACAGAAACAAGGGAACACGCAGATCCTATTGATAGTGGCCTCCTTGACCACAGCAGAGTGAGAAAGTGCCATGTGCTCCAAATCCAGGTCC